AATTTAGCAGTGTAAGACTAGAGGGAAGGCAGCTAGTCATCACCACCCACCGCCAACTCTTGGGCTACTCTTTTACCAACCCTTTTTCATGTTATTTTTCGCTTAGTTAAGTTATAAATCTAACATTAAGAGAAAATGTGACTATTTTATACTTTATCCAATTATTTAAGAATCTTAAAAAACATCAATTTTGTTGTATAGACTATTCAAAATGTACAGAATAACTGACTTCAGCGGCATTATTGAAATTCTTAAATGCGCAGTATATATATAATTACTAAACCATTAAACTTAAAGGTTTTTAACATGAATCTAGTTAGGTTTTAGGGAATACTTTGCTACACAAGCCTATTTCGTTTAAAACAACGTCAGCATAGCTTTACATACACAGTTGATGAATTTGAAAAACTTTAAATAATTACTTCTGTAGATTTTTACTTTTTACATACCAAACTTTGCTCTTTTTTTAGGTTGTATGTTGCTTTCAGTACTTTGGTAAATGTGGTACTAATCGCTTGGTACTAAAAATCAAAAAGAAAATGGGGAAAACCAAGAACATTTTGTATCACCTACTTCCATTTTCAACACAATGCTCACGAAGTTCAAATCCTTTGAAATCATACTAAATGATACTAAATTGTGCTAAAAAGTCTTAATGTTAGCATCTAGAACAAGCCTTGAAAAATTGTATGTTTGTTCATTTAAAAGTGCAGAAGAACTTTTCTTTAAAAGATCCAATTTCTTTTTTTTTTTGATAAAATAAAATATATACCTAGTACCAACTGAAATTACTGAAATCTAAATTAATCACATGAAAGTTTTCAGATGATCGACTTGACATTACATGGTTTGTTTACCGACTACCAAATATCTAATTCACCTGCATAAGCCTGAATATCAAATTAGGCTTATACTGAGTAGCAAAGCTTTCTTAATAACATGGCTATTGTTGTGAAGGAGCTAGATATGATCCTAGGCTGCCACTAACGGTACGTTCTAGACAAAGAACTTGTGTATTCATCTTATTTTCTACTTATAAGTATCATCGCTGGCCTGTCCACACTTATCATTATTAGACGTCAGGAAAAGCATCTTAATCTAGAATGGTTTACCTTGAATATAATATAACACATAAATGAAAGCGTTGACTCTACTGCCTTGAAAAAGGAATTGGACAAAAAGAAAATCATTTTCGAGTGCAACTCTTACCTGACGTTGGTTCGATACCATGGTGGTTGAAACTTTGTAATTATTAAAATTAGAACTTGCCTTCTGTAAAAGTTGCTTTTGAATTAAACCTTGATTTTGTTTCACCAACTTTATTTTCTCGCCATTTTCAAAATGAAAATAATAAAGTTTGTTTGATGTTAAGCACAAAGATACACAATGGGCTGCCCACCATGAGTATCGAAACCCGGATTCTAGCGTTGTACATCCGCAGACATGCCGCTGTGCCAATGGGGGGGGGGGAGCAGAGAATAAAGAAAGGTGACTATAGTTTGAGAAACAAACTTATGTTAAAATCATGTAATTTGTGAAGCAATGGTTTACTTTTTAATACATTAAATAAACTCTGTACCTCGTGATATTTAACACGTTAAACTCGTCGTTTCAGCTGATTTTTTTTAATAAGTTGGCCCCCGGTAGTTTAGCAGTAAGTCTAAGAACTTATAACTCTAAAAATTGGGTTTCCATACATGCGGTGGAAAAGCACAAATAGTCTGTTGTGTAGCTTTGTGCTTAATATCAAACAAACTAATGATCTGATAACTCTTATCTTGTTTGTACCAGTAGTTGGTTAGTTTTAATCCTGTATAAAAGTTTATCTTGATTTATTTCTGTTGGCTTTAAAATTAATCGATTTAAAACTACTATTATTCGAACATACATAATTATGTGTACTTATAATATTATTTTAATGGAATAATCATAAAATAGTGTTTTTATGTACAAAATTTAAACCTGTTATTTTATAATACTTGGGCAGAACTACCGCTCCTTAGATGTTGCAGTTTAATCAAATGATTAAAAGAATCCAATATTTTTGATCTTACATCATAAATATAATAACTACATATTATAAATCTATATAATTTTATATTATTATTTTGTTAAGACAATTTATTGGTACTTTTAAAAACAAATACGTTATTTTACGGCGTTATAAAGATTATGTTAATTATATTCTTGTTTTGTGTAAAAATAGTTATTAATTATTTATTTAAAATGAACCTATAAACATATTCTGACCTTGTAGATTTATTACAAATACGGATCTTAGAATTATAAAATATCATTGAAACTGTAGAACGAAATAAAAAAAATAACATTTGGCTTTGAGTTCTTAAAGAACAAAGGGCAATAAACATTTAAACTCATGGCCAGATTTTTCTCCCTCTCTCTCTTTTTAATTTTTTTTACGTTTCAGCTTACGATAAGTTTTGTGTAAAGCAGCTGTCTTTCGTTTGTTATTCAGTTATATTTCTTTCAAGTAAGACTGATTAGGATTTGACAGCCCCCCTCATGTTTTATTTGATGTTAGTCCATTCATAATAGCTCAAGGTTTTTGAAAAACGAAAAAGAAACAAATTTTCAAGCCTTACCCTATTGACGACAGATACATTAATATTATTATGTTACCGTCTGTTTGTTTTTAACCACAAATCTGCACAATGGGCTGTTTGCGTTGTACCCACCGCGGGTATCGGAATTTGATTTTGAGCACCAGATGCCCTCAAACTTATTGCTGAGCCACCGGAGGGCTCGTCTAACTGAAAGACATTTGAGCAAGTTATCTCTCACGTGAATAGAAAGAACCAAAAATATATACAATTAAACGTGATTTTAATCACTATTGTTATTTCTAATTTACAAAACAATAATATTATTAAATACTTTGCTTTACAAATTGCATTGCTAACATCTATTTCATTATATTTTCGATAACTCATGCGACATTTAAATGCATATTAGGATAATTTTTATTTGGTTTGTTTGGAATTTCGCGCAAAGCTATACGAGGACTATCTGCGCTAGCCATTCCTAATTTAGCAGTGAAAGACTAGAGGGAAGGCAGCTAGTCATCACCACCCACCGCCAACTTTTGGGCCACTCTTTTACCAACGAAAAGTGGGATTGACTGTCACGTTATAACGCCCCCACGGCTGAAAGGGCAAGCATGTTTGGTGGGACAAAGATTCGAACCCGCGACCCTCAGATTGCGAGTCAAGCGCCCTAACCATTTGAACATGCCGGGCCTACGTTTTGTTATGTGAAATTTATCTAAATTACTTCTTAAAAGCAACTTGAAAATGTGTTGATTATACCCGTCCGTTTCAATAAACGTATATACAATAGTAGAATGAATATTTTAGTTCATTGAGCGACAGGAAACAAACATGGCTACATTCATTTGAAGTTGTAGAATCAATGTACTTTTATTTAAAATTTAGTTCTAGCCCTAAGCAGGTTACAAATTAAACAAAATCCAAAGTCACGTACATATGATAAGTTTATACACATTTACATACACAAAAATAATAGATCTAGCTCTTTGTCAGCTTTCACATCCCCGTACAGTATCTACGATGATCTTTAAAATATCTCTTCAAATCTTTACTTCGTTGATTATAATCTTTATTTAAAACTTAAAGCTGACATGGATCATTTTCAAATCAAACAAAGACATTTTTCAAAGCCATATACATAAAATGAATTTAGCAGATTAAATAAAAAAAGATTACAGCTCTGTGTCAGTTTTAACTTTTCCGTGGGTATGTACGTTGAAATTTAAAAACGTTACCCCATAAAGTGATAAGCAATTAATGGAATTAAAGCGCTATTCAAGCTTATGTTTACTCAGTTTCTCTACAATTTGAGAGAGATTTTAAGTACACTTGTTAGATTTTTTTTTATTGTTCCAACATTACTGATACTTAATCTGTTATTCTTCGTCTCCCAAGCAGCTCCGTCGTTTTTCATTTCGCATTTCTGTGGTTCTACAAAAGGTATATAAAAAAAAGAACATCTTTAAGTTAAAAAGATATTGAAATATGAAAATATAAACCATATTTGAACAAAATGTAAGCCTCACTTGTAGTGTCTATTAAACCTTATTGATAAAACATCAGTCAGTGAATAGTTTGTTCATAACAGATTGCGTAGTTAAAAAACACTCCAGTGAATAGCTTTCATTTGTTTATATCAGAAATGCCTTCTCTGTTCTCCTATAACAAAATGCATACTTATAATACGCCAGTGAATAAGTGCTTATATCCTAAATGCCTTCTCTTGTCGACTTTGAAGTTATAAACTTTCCATTCCCAAATACCAATATTCCAAACAAGTTGTGTTACAATGTTTACTACTCGCAGCTTATTAGATTACGAGAACATATGGATCAAATTTGTAAATTCACTTGCATTTGTCATAATCGGCAATCTTTATTGAGAAAAGTAAACATAAAATTAATTCAATTCTGTGGAAATTTCAATATTATCTTTTCTAAAACTGTATGTTTAGAAGTTTTACAGAATATTACAACCTTTAAAAACTTTCACGTCTACACTTTGGTTTCTTAGATAATATAGTAAATTAGTTTGTTTGTTTGAAGTTAATCACAAAGCTTCACAAGGGCTATATGTGTTCTGCCCACTACGGGTATCGAAACCGTTGTAAGTCCGCACACACATACCGCTGTGCCACTGTGTTACTCACCATTGACTTTACCGTCTGTTAAGTTAAGCTCTGATTATGAATAGTTTATATTAGCTATACAGTTGGGTGGATAATATGATATTACGTTATTGGTTAAGTTACATTAGTTTGCTCATTTCCTTCATCGCCATATCTAAGATTGTTGCAGCTTTCCTTTCCAAGTCTTGCTATCACTACTTTCTCGAGAATTACTACATTTACATTTCGTCTTCTACGGGAGATTTACGTTTATTTATTAACAATTTGAGTATTAATAAAAAACAATAAATTAATTATTGCGTGTTCGTGTAGAAAAGGTATTAAGAGAAATAACACGAGCCGTAGATAGGAAAATTCTATAAAAACTCAACTTTTTACTTAATATAAGATGTGGTCTCAGAGAGTTAATAGGCGCTTAATTTCTTGATCGAGTGAATAAACGACTGAAATGATCATCATTTGTTGTTGTGTCACTGATCGGAGGTGTGATACAGTTTCCCAATAGATCAGCTATCTCAAGATATGCGACGGTCTGACCAACACAATGACGTGATTGTCTGTCTCTGCAAAGTGCGGCCATGTGTCTTATCGGCCAGGGTTGGATGAGGGGAACCATGACAGCAGGTTATCTCTACAAGTGTCGATGTGTATTGAGATAGACATTTGGCACTATGGAGAGCTGAATGCTAGTGCATTTATGTTCCGTAGGCAAAATATACTATGTTCTTTCTTTGTAGAGACTTGTAGTTGGTTGGAATATTTAATATAACTTAGTTTTATTACCTTTTAGTTTTATCTTTAGTATTATACTTTCGTTAAGAAATAGTTTTTTTTTTTTGTCATTTTTTAGCTTAGTATGTGTATTTAGGACTAACCTAAATCTCCTAAGCTGGCCGAACCTCTGATGTATTATTGGGTTTATGGCCGAAAATATCGTTAACAGCGAAGGTACACTGTTGATGAAACGTAATAAATGTACACTAAACCAACCATACTGGTAGCCATATTGATTTTCATTTAGTTCTAAGTACATACCTTACTTTGGTCGGAAGCTATTATTATTATATATATATAATGCACACTTATAAAGATACGCTAAGGAATTGTTTAACTTGTTCATATCCGAAATGTTTTCTCTAGTTTATTGTAACGAAATTCATATCTATAAGTTGACAGCGCTACTTTTTCATGGTATTGTAAAACTGAACGTTTTTTAAAGTTCTAGTTGTGGTGGTGAAAATAAGAGCCTCAGCTAATTCGCAGTGCAAAAGCTTCATATGTGCTTTATTGAAATTTTACCACTGGCATATAGAGGTAGACTAGTGTGTCTGACATATCAATTGATACGAATGTTCAATCGTTCGGGTGTTTTTGTTGTTGTTTTTTAGATATTTATGTTATAATTATAGGAAAAATTATAAAAAATCGTATTAGATAGATAAATGTAATACAAATAATGGCGAACAAAATGGGTGAGGAAAATTGTGGGCTAAAATTAAATAATAATAAGTAGTAATAACCCAGATAGCACTTTAAGCATACCATACAGTCATAAAACACTAGTAACTGATTTATAAAATTAAATAATAATAAGTAGTAATAACCCAGATAGCACTTTAAGCATACCATACAGTCATAAAACACTAGTAACTGATTTATAAAATTAAATAATAATAAGTAGTAATAACCCAGATAGCACTTTAAGCATACCATACAGTCATAAAACACTAGTAACTGATTTATAAAGAAACTTTTTAAGTGACAATATATTTTATACTAGATTTATATCTGAATGGGGATTTTTTTAGAAATTCTATAAAATTTCAGTTATTTTTATCATAGACATTCAACCGTATTACTCACCTTGTCGTTTTTCAAGGACAGTGCTGAACAAATCATTGTATTGAAAACGCTAAATCGCTTTTTTCAGAAGTCAAAACTACCACTGATATTCTGGTAATAATATCGATAGAATAACTATGTTCACTTCATTTATTATTACCATTACTCGAGTACTTTTTACGAATTTTGTTTCTTAATGCAACCATACTTGTAGATTAAAGTACGAGCTCTCCGTCATGCAAGGAACATTTTAAAACCTGAATGAAAGGCACAACGGTAACAATGAACTATGTCTCTTGCAATTTAATACAACACCGCTACTGACAATGTGTACACTTATCTTTAAAATAAAAACTGATTAAAGAAATAATTCTAAGAAAATTAAACAGATTTAAAACTATTATATAACCGGGAAAATGGGTACAATTTTCAAAAGGTATTTTACTTCCGTGTCGACAAGAACAGCTCGTCGAATGTGTTTGTTTGTTTAGAATAATCACACAAAGCTACATAAGGACTATTTGCGTAAACTCGTCCCTAACCTTGAACTGCTAGGTTGGAAGGTAGACAGACAGTCATTATCACCCACAGCCTTCTCTTGGTCAACTGCTCGTGTGTGTGTGACTAAATAGTGAGATTTATTTGATCGCCACTTTTTCGCAATACCCATGACCGCGGAGTGCGTTTTTTATGGTATCGAGACACGAACCTTGAGTCCTTGGTGTCAAAGTTTAGGCATGTTAAGAACTAGTCTACGCCCTTTCGGGTTGTCGATTTTTTATTTTTCTGTAGAATGACAACCTAGTTTTAAAGATTAGTGCCCGCATAAGCTAAAAAGCAGTCTTTGTAACATACTGTATTAATTTTAGGTTTTTCCTTTTGCTACATTCGTTGTATGAAAACAAAAATCTCACCAAAAATTGGGTGAAATCACTTATTTTTTCAATAACATGCACTGTGGGCCACAGCACTAACTAACAAGATTAACAGCAAAACTGGCGGATTTTTTAGTTTTCGTATATCATTGGGGACCCTGTAACCAACAAAGTTATTAACCCACAAATAATTTGGTGCATAAATAGTTTTGAAAAACGTGTTTAAAAAAGCTGATGAGATCTGAACCACCACCGATAATTTTATAATCAAATAGGAACGTTGAGCGTATTTCACCCTAAGGCTACTCTCACACCCAGGGCAGATTTATATTCTGAATAATTTCTAAAACAAATTCTGCTTGCGAACTTAGAGCGTGTCTCGCTCGAAAGCTACTTTCATATCCTGGATAGATTTATAGCTCGAAGAATAGCGAATATAGATGAATAATTTGTTACATTTATTCGATTGATATTCTCTGCAGGCATAGGCTTGTGAACACCCTTGACCTCAGTATTGAAGTTTGTAACTCTTCCCGCTTAGTCTTAGTCCCCTACGTATATTTTATATGCTAACGATACTGATTTTTTTTGTTCCTAATATGGAAACGATCCCGCCATTTCGAGTGCTTCTACTAGTCCGAAGTATATACAACTTATGCCCGAAGTTATAGACTAGAAAGAAGGTAGATAGTAGACACCACTCACTGCCAACTCTTGAGCTACTCTTGTCAGACAGAAGATAGGATATTGAATTTCTACATCTTAAAATATCTTTGTGTATTTATTCGATTAAAAATGGTCATAATTTAATATTCTGATTAACTTTATCGTTGTTCAGAAAAACAGACAAATTCCGTACAAATTAAGTTCAGGAAATCGCAATAGACAAATTAATTAAAGAATTGGAGCAATGGATTAGCTACAGAAGTAATTAAGTTAATGTAAACGCTTAAGTGGTACATTGAGGCCTTTGTGAATCATGAGGGCACCTTAGAATCCGGCAGCGGAGCGTGATTATTTTATGCTAGTTTCAAATATTACAAAAATAAATTGGACTTAGTATTTGAAACAAGGTAAAAGATATAATCTCATACCAAAGTTTTAGCATCGTAAATCTGTAAACTTACCGCTGTCCCATCGGGGGCATAACAAATAAAAGAATGGGGCATGTGATTTCTGCATAATTCTGCATCATTAATTATATTTCTCTTTAATAGTGCTTATTATACCTACCTGTGTTAAAAGATATGGAATCCAGACCTTGCAATTTTCCAGTAAACAAGTGCGTGGCCCACCAGCCTAATCTTCTATTCATTTTAAACAGTCCTTCAGTTGATGCCGGTAAGCTAACGCTAAACCAAAAATCAAACACAATTTTTTGAGTCATAATTGTGCAAATCACTCATTTAAGAAACAAAACCAAAAGCGAAAGGTTTTCTATATGGTTGTTTAAGTATCTTAAATTATATTTTACACAAGAAACAAACTATTTTTACAAATTACACTAAAACAGTGTTTCACACTAAGATAGCACTCTAGTGTTCTCTTAAGAATAAACAATAAAACAACTCGTCCTTTCTTGTATTTCTTTCACTGCTTCATTAACAAATGCCATCAGTAATGACCAGCATGATATGTTTTTTAGTTCCTGTAACAGCTATAAGTTTGTGGAAGTGCCAAAACGAAGTGGTTGTGAGATTTGTGCTGCTAAATAGTTTGTACCATTTCCTGTCTTGTGCTTTAAGGTCTTCACCTGTAGAAAGCATGTGCTTTATTTTCTGTAATCGTTGCTTCATCTGCCCTGACTGAGTCATGCTTTATCTACATGAAATCAGCCTGAGCTTGACTGTGCGCTTCCAGGCTTTATCAGTAACACTGTGTTGCCACAGCAAGATGTTCCTTTGGCAGAGGTTGTTGTTTTTGACTTCGTTCAATAATGGAGAGATGCTTAAGGGCGGAGTACTGCCAAAAAAGGTAAAGATTTTTATGTGCGTTTCAGATTGCCTTGTACCGCTTTGTCTTTCAGTGTACATGCACACCTTACACATGAGGTGGTCACTACAGAGATTACCTACTCTATCGCAGGTAGAAGTGATACTTAATGTGGTGCTAGTAAAAGCACTGTTTATACAGAAGTCTCTGTAACCTTGTCACTTAGTGATTCTCATTGTTTCTGCCGAGTTTAGCACTATAATGTCGGTGGCTATACTGTAGCAGAATGTAAATCTTTGCTGTGGTTTCATCTACTTCACAGGTGTGGTGTCTGATATTGGAGCCTCGTACAATTATATATACAGGATACAAATATACGTCCATGAAAAAGAACTATTCAACAAAGTTACCAAACCTGCTGTTTACTTCCGCTATGTAGACGACACATTTGCCATTTTTAAAACTGAACAGGAATGTGAGTGTTTCTTACAAGACCTAAACTCGTTGCACTCAGCTCTCAATTTACTTTCGAAAAGGAACAACATAACTCTTTACCGTTTCTAGACATCTTAGTTGAAAAAGATGACTTTCGTTTTCTCACCAGTATATACAGAAAACCTACCTTTACAGGACAGTACACACGATGGGATTCTTTCAGTCATAAAAGTCGCAAAACGAACTTTATTGCTACTTTAGTCCATTGGGCTCTAGTTATCTGTTCAAAATCTAAACTAGATTTGGAATTGAAGACAATTAAAACGATTTTACT